GGGAAGCCCGCACACGCCGGAGGGAACCCGTGGGACGGAGTCAATGCGCTGGACGCGTTGGTTTCGGCGTACAACAACGTCGCCATGCTCCGGCAGCAGATCCGGCCGGAGCAGCGCATCCATGCCGCCTTCACCAAGGTGCCGCAGGTCATGAACGTCATTCCGGACCATACGGCCGTCACTTTTGGCACGCGCAGTCCGACGTGGGCGGATGCGGATCGGCTGATGGAGCGAGTGACGGATTGTCTGAAAGCGGGGGCGCTGGCGACGGGGTGTCGGGTTGAATATGAAAGGTAGCCGCTGCACGACAGATATACAAGATGTACAAAAATTGACCCTTTAGAACGGATGGATACCTCGACCTGCGTCTCAACCGGACGCTCTGCGAGCGGTATACCCATCACATGGGGGCGTCTTACAGCGAGCGAATTCGGCTCATGACGGACGAGTACATGTCCGCGTCAACCGACATGGGTGAGTCAGCTGCACAGGAGGTTGGCGCAAACTGACAGTCATGTCAGGAAGAGGCGTACGAATCGGCGGTGCGGTCGGGACGAGGCATGGCGATGGTGGCGTGGGATGTGTTGTCCAACGAGAAGATCCTGAAAGCGGTAGTGGACGATTTTGAGGCGGACAAGAAGATGCGATAAAGAATATAATGAGTTCGACGTATATTGAGCGAGACTCGACGGATTCCCTAGATGATTGTATAGCGCAGTTATCTATTTCTAGGGTACTGCATTATCAGTATATATTCTGCGCCACTAACAGTAATATAAAGATCTGTCTGCAAGACACGCAAGCCCTATCCGTACAAGCATTGAGGATGTACTATTTCTCCTTCATTATCAGGCTGTTTTTGCCATAGAAATGACTACGGGTGCGACAATACCAAGTCGAGGGAGGTGCTGGGGGTGCAGTTCAGGGGGTTGAAGGAGTGCGTGGATGATACAGTGCGGTCGATGTTGGATGTGCAGGCTGGTCGACAGATATCTTGAAGTAGATAGTACTTGTCGACAGACACGCTGCAGAATGATTACAGAATTGCAATATATCTGAGGAAAACATCCTCATTCACCCTAGCTCTGAATCTAGATAACAATTCCTAGAATACAGTCGTAAATTAGTAGTTAATAGCTAGTAGTATCAACCTGGATTTTCTTTGTCATTGCACTTGTTATTCTTTTAGAAAATAAAATAAATAAATAAAACATGCCATTCAAGACATTACAATCAAAAAATAACTATATGAATATGAGCTTGGTAAAAGTATGCATCTCGATATATTTATTTTTTCTAATTCTCACTCGTTTTCACAAACTAGCAGTCACTGAATTTACATGCTCATGCTTACAAATATAAAGAAGATCGATGTATCTATTCGTATCTATTCCCTTTTTCTATAACTGTGATATTACGGAGTAGCTTATATTCTATTTTATAGTAATATTTCACTCCATGAAATGAATCTGTCGATAATGATAATAATCTGCTGGATGTAATGAAGCACTGACTGATTGATTGATCGATTGACTGGCTGAACTAGGTCTACTTACTTTTTTAGGTAATCGAACCTAATTAGGTAACCCTACACCAGAAAGAATAATTAATTCTCTCCATAGCCAGAAAGAAGAAAGGATCCCTTCTATGTATTAACAGTTAAGAGCATGTCGCATGTAGCATGCTTATACTTGATTAATTTCTTTCTGTAAAGCCCGCTTTAGGCGTCGTCGGCGATTTGAGAGAATTAATTGAGAAGGCAAAGCGAAAAAATTATCATATACATAGACGTAGTAGATACGTAGTCATTATCATGTAGATAATTAATTCCATTGTTGATGCTCCAAAAAAAAATCATTTACTTCATCCAGTGTTTTCTGAACGTTTCTGACCAGATTAAAAAAAAGAATTTGTGAAGAGTACATACGTATGTAATACTTGAATAAAAAAAGAGAAGAAGTTCTAGAAGAACGGAAGAAAATATAGAAGGAATTTATTACATCATGGAATACTTATTTATTGTAATATCTCCCTCTCACACTATACTTAGGAATACTCATTCCTGCACTATTGTATGACAGAATAGTCTCCTTGCCACCATATTGATCCATCTCAAACTAATCCATCCTACTTCTCCCTCAACTTCTCCGCAACCAACACATAGCTCCCCGACTGTATCTCCGTCAGCAGATCCAACCCCTTTGGCTCCCACCCCAGCTTCTGCACCGCCTTCCGGCTCGACGCGCGGTTCTCAATCGTCACAAACCCCGCAAGGAACTTTCCCCAGCGCTGCTCGGCCTCGTCGCGCGTGATGGACCGCACAGGGACGTTGAGCACGGCGCCAATCGCGGTGGCGAGTTCCTTGAAGGTGATGCTCGTCGAGGCCGTGCCGTTGAAGACCTCCCCGGGGGTAATAGTCTTCCCCTGCTGCTGTTTGAGACGCTTCGCAACAAGCAGGTACAGCCTCACCGCGTCGTCGACGTGCACTGACGAAAACCGATTCGCGCCCGAGTCGATGTACACCGACTCTCCCGCCTGCGCGGCCAGCTTGATCAGCAGCACCGCAAAGCCCGTTGTCTGCGGGCCCTCGACCCGCCCGTACACGTACTGCGGCAGCCGGATCGTGCTGACGCGCACGCCCTTCTCTGCCCAGGCCAGCGCGCGGCGCTCCGTGCGGAAACGCTGCACCGGCGCGTTCGGCGCTGGCGGAGCGTCCTCGTCTGTCTCGCCGCCGTTAGGGTCGGGCTGGACGAAACCCGCCGAGGAGGTGATGACCAGCGGCTTGTCGGTGCCCTGGAGGGGTTCAGCGAGGGCATCGACGGCCGCGATGTCGATATCCACGAGCTTATCGAACTCGCCAGACGCAAAGTCGTGGATGAAGGCCAGATGAAACACGATATCCGCCTCGCTGCTCTCCCGCCGCAGCACGTCCAGAGTCGTCAGCTCGCCGCGCACGGGCGTCGCGCCCAGCTTGCGCAGACGAGCGTCGCCTTCGTCGCTGCGTGACAGGCCGTGGACGTCGTAGCCTTCAGAGACGGCGAGCTCGGTCAGCACGCGGCCGATGTAGCCGGTTGCGCCGGTGATGAAGATGCGAGTCATCTTGTTGGAAGAGAAGATCTGATGCGATGCGAGTTAGATAGACTATACCTAGGTATAAATAAGCAGGATAACTGGTGATGTCCACGAAAAGAAAAGATACCAACGACAGACAGAGCGATTCATTTAATAACTAAATACCAGTCCATAATTAAGCACTGCATTTACTGTTGACCTTGCAGTAATAACATGCCTACAAAGTCACCCACGGAGATAAAATAAATGGACAACGCCATCGACGAAATATTGTAAATATTCGACTGTTCTCGCGTCAGAGATGAGGGCACTGAATATTTATTAATAATTAATAATAGCGATCTCAGCTGGGAAGAGGATATACGAGATGGTTAAATCCGGGGGAAAGCGGAGATAACAGTCTTCCTTGTTGGTTGGACGCCTGACGGTGCTTTGTTTACTAATAGGCATTACTGTGCATGTACAGTACACTCCTAAGGTAGATCTAGATCTAATTCATCCTTACTAGAATAGGAAATTGAACTCAAATAACCTATTGGCAGTCTGATATCAAAGAGTGAACAATTTGTTAAACGAGCGACAAGAAAAAGCAAAGGCTGAAAGCATACATCAATATCACGGAAAAGCAGCTCCGCGGAGACCGTCGTGCTCGATAGACATGCAGGCCCCTGGAGCGGTGGCCACCGACTTGGCTTGCGGAGAGATTTCTTCTGCCGAGAAGTGATGAAGAAGGACCTCGGATGCAGACGACCCTTCTCGAGTATGTCCACCGACCAGGGATCTACCGCACTAACAAGACTCCGTATCTCCTCCCCTCAAGACATCTAGACGAGCCGATACGCTCCGTCGGACCTGAACCCCAAGCAGACCGTCTTTCTCATCTTCATTCTTCACGGCAGGCGATGATCAGACCTGCGACTCCACCATCCGCCGTCCCTCAGTTCACACCCGTCGTACACCTCTCTGGAGAGTGGCTAGCCGATACATCCACTCTCTAAGAACATCCTTCAATAACTCATTCAACACAAGCCTTGCCAGTCGGCAGTGGCAGCCATTATCGATAAAGCGCACTGCTCATCAAGTTAGACCTGTCTTTGCTGTCCGTCGACCGTAACTTACCCCTCCGCCAAGGCAAGACTCTACAGGACCGTCACCGACGACAACGACGACGACATGGCGGAGTCTCACTTCTTATAGACATGGCGACCCGAGTCTACCGATTTTTGTTTCTGGAGTGAAGCTCTCGCTCCAGGTCGAAACCCTTCAGCTTGGCAGCGTACATGAGAGCAAGACTATCACCCGTCACACTCAATCATAGTTGCCGCCAACCTGGCTGGCAAATGCCGTCGAAACACTCCGTGCGTCATCATCCTGAACACCCCGAGTCACACGGAGGCTCGTCGTGCTGCCGCCGAAAATGCTGCTGTTATCATGCACGCCGGACTTGTACCCATCCCGACCTCCGGATTCGACATAGCGTTTCAGTCGATCGGACTGGCTCAGACTCGGCTGCTTGGGCGCGTCGTGGATGGTCAGACCAGCCAGACTGACACCTCCCTGGCCAACCCCCTTGCCGTCGACGACGCTGCCGGTCACATCAGATTCAGTAGCCGCCACCGATTCTCCGGCCACACTCGGCGCGCCTTTGCCTCGAGCACCGTTGGTCCGACGAGAGCCTGGAAGCGCCGGCCAGGCTTCTGAGAAGTTCTGGAACATCGGCGGATATCCAGACGGGACGCCAACGCCGCCAACCGAAGACGAGTGCACAGATGACACGTCGTCGGGAATATAGCCGACCACTGAACCCGAATCATGGTAGTCCTGGCGGTGTCCGTTCCGACCGCCATTCGCCATACTGTTAGCCATGTTCGATGCGTGATTGTACGCCATCTGGAACCGTTGCGGTCCGCGATACGCTTGCTTGGGACGAGGGAACTGAATCATCGACTCCTGGAGGTTGTTCAACGGACCCTCAACAAGGCACTTCCGTTCCTTGAAGTGAAGCAGAAGACAGTTCCACAATGGGTGTTTCGCCAGGACTTTCGGGTTGCCCAGGATGACCAAGCCGTACTTGGCTCGGGTGAGAGCGACATTCAGACGGCGAGGGTCGCTCAGGAAACCAATGCCTTGGTGGTCGTTGGAGCGCACGCACGACAACACGATAAAGTCCTTCTCTCGCCCTTGGAACGCATCGACGGAAGCAACCTCGATTTCCTTGTAGTGTTCCTTCTTGAACGTTCCGTTCGCCTGCATCGATTGCACAACGTAGCTGCGCTGGCCTTCGTAGGGAGTAATGATACCAATGTCCTGGGGCTGCACACCGGCCTTGAAGAACCGAGTCACAATCTTCTCGACGTTGGCCGCCTCAGTTCGGTTGAGGTAGGACGTGCCGGATGCGGAAATCTCTTCATTGCCCATGTTGCACCAGAACATCATCGGATTGTCGGCAACGGGCCAGGGGAAGTCGACATCACGACGGAGGCGCTGGGCCATCGAGACACCGTTCTGGAGAGACCCTTCGTAGAACATGTTCGACGGGAACTCGGACAGGCAAGGGTGCATACGATACTGCACGTTCAGACGGATAGGATTGCAGCCCAGAATGACCAGACGCTCGAAGAGCGACTGGTTGAGACCAGCCTTAGCGGCCTTCTTGTTCATGATGACCGGTCCCAGCTGCTGGTGGTCACCAACGAGGACCACTTGCTTGCAGCCGAGGACGAGCGGGATCATGCACTCGGGCTCTGCAGATTGGGTCGACTCGTCGATCAGAACAGTGCGGAACCTGAACTTGGCCAGACGCGGGTCGCCGGCACCCACGCAGGTACAGCAGATAACATCGGCATTGCTCAAAATTTCGCGTTCCGCCGCACGAACGAGCTGCTTGTATTTCTTCTCGTCTTGACTGGACAACTCGCCCAACTCCGCCTTCAGCTGGTTGAGCTTGACGAGCTCGATATTGCTGTCGTTCATGCGGACCTGCTCGTGCAGAGAGAGGAACCGCACCGGAGATTCGACATCCTCCCGAGACTTAGCCGTCACGCGGACAGTCTTCAGGCCAGTCCGGTGAATCCGTTCGCAGAGCTGGTCGACGGCGACGTTCGAAGGCGCACAGACGAGAACCTGGCCGCCGTTGATTTTAGCGAGATGGTAAATGATGGTGGCAGACGTGACCGTTTTTCCGGTTCCTGGAGGACCCTGGATCAAACTCAGAGGCTTCTGCAGCACACTCTTCACCGCATTGATCTGGCTGCCGTTCAGTTCAGGGAGACCAGGCACACTGAACTTCTTCGGCAGCTGAGTCTTCATCGGGGCCGCCGCCACCTCGTGGCCCAAGAGACGGTGGAAAATGTAACCAGACACGCTCATCTCATCGACCGCAAAGGTCTTCATGGCAAGCTGCATGCGGTCGAACGAGGTCGCCTTCCAGACGTAATCCGCAGTGAAGTTATGGGTGCACTCGGTGGGAACGGATTTGTGATCTCCTTTGGAGCGCAATTCGATGGTGACTTCGTCGGACTGGTTGTTGGGGACCTTAATCACGTATCCCACTCCTTCCCACTTCGGACGAAGGTCTCCCGTGTACTTCAGACGCATTTCATCGCCGACGGCCAGTTTGACGTCGCCAAGCTCGAGCTTTGGAAGGACAAAGCTAGCCAAATGCTTGTTGTTGAGACCAAGATCCCATCGGACGACCAGGTTGTCCTGGGACTGCGACTCCTTCAACTTGCGGTCGTAATCGGCTTCGATTTTAACCAGAGGGCCAAAGATGTTCTGATACTGAAAGGCGTCGTCGTAGCGCAGCAACACAGCAGCTGGCTCGTCGTCGACGGTGTTCGCCTTCTCCAAGTCGGCAACTGTAGCATTGGCGTTTTCCTTCCACAGCTCCTCCAACTTTGCAATCATCTGAGGGCTCAGGTGCCGAGCCCGAAGCTGCTCCTGGTCAGATGGCTGCGCGACCAGCCAAGGCAAGAACGAGCGATCTTCGATGAGGGGCTGCCACCGCGACGTATCCCAGTTCATGTCTTTGGACGAGGGCATGGCAGCGCAAGGCTGACGACACAGGAGGACGACGACCGTGTCGGACTTGGCCGGGATGAACCCCAAGAGGAAGACATTCTTAGTGCCGCAGTTGTAGCATTCCAGAATAGTATCGCCCAGCGAGGACTGGGGGTGCAGCTGCACTTCTTTGTGTCGAGCACGGACGAGGTGGTTCACGATGTGGGAGGAAGACGTGTTGCCACGGGCACTGCAGAACCATTTGCTGCAGGCCAGGCACTTGACGACGCAGCTCGGATTATGGATGCCACAGTAGCTAGAGAGATAGTTAGTTAGTAGTTTCCAAAATACGATAAAGTCTCGGAGCAAACTTACGCGCAGGCATGCGGAGGAAGCTCCTTCTCCTCCTCCACCTTCTTCTGTTTTTTGGAATTCTCCCCAGTGGGGACACTCGCCAGACTCTCGAGGTCGTCATCATCGAGAACGTCAGATGTGTCGTCCTCATCATCGTGTCTCCGACGACGAGCAGCACTCAGGATGCTGTCATCGGGATCCACGGTCGACGCGTCATCGCCTGCATTGGTAGCAGTCGAATCTGAGACCAGATGATTACCCATGTGCTTGAAAGCCTCCATTTTGATCAACCCTCACGCCGATGCGTGGTGTGTTTCGGATGGTAGCGGAGATATCGGGTGGGTTACTATCAGATGCGGAATGGGACAGGCGATCAACTGAGTTGTGCAACCATCCAGTCGGGCCTGTCACAAGGACACGTGCAATGCAGTAGCGGTAGGAGATGACAGAGGTGAGATAGGGCACCGCTGTGCGTGGTTGTGCTCAGACAGAGACAGTCTTGTCGAGCAAGAGAAGCAAGGGTGCGAGATAGCGGGGGGAGCAAAGGAACGAGAGGACAGGCAATCCCAATGACGGAGGAGACATGCACCCAGCGAGCTGAGTGTCAGGGCTTTGTGAAGAACTGCAAGCCAGTCGACACCTCCACCGTCACCACCACAGAGCAAGAGAGCGGTGCAGACGAGAGTGAAGCTGTGGAGGCAAGCAAACCCTCCGCATGGATGCAAAAGGATCAATCGGCTTGGCGCCCACACTTCGGCGGAATCCCCTCGCCGGTGGCAACACCGCCTGCGCTTATCGGCAGAAAAAATATCACCGATTCACAGCACGTCACTCCAACCAACAACGACAGGAGTTATTTCTTTTTTTTTTACGTCTCTTTTCCTGTCATCATGCTGGTGAGTGTCTCAATGTCGATCATTGCAAATCCTACAGCCCTGCTGATCGCCTTCTAGCGCCGTCAAGCGCGAGAGCGCCGGGACTACATCTACCGGAAAGCTCTGCAGCTCCGCGACGCAGCCATCGCTGAGAAGCGCGCAAAGCTCAAGGCGTCCCTGGCGACTGGCAAGCCGCTGGACCCGTCGATCGCAAACGACAAGCAACTCCGCGAAGACTTCAAGTACGATGAGTCGCTGCCGTCGACAAACCTCCAGTCCAAGGCCAAAGAGAAGGACGCCGAGCTGCTCGACGTCGACGATGAATACTCCCTCACCTCCGGCCTCATTGACCCCCGTCCCCTCATCACCACCTCTCGTTCGCCGTCTGCGCGCCTCAGCACTTTTGCCAAGGAGATGCGTCTGCTCCTGCCCACTTCCATCCGTCTGAATCGAGGCAATCTAGTCTTGCCAGACCTGGTCGCCAGCGCCAATGCTGCTGCTCTGACGGACATGGTGCTTCTGCACGAACATCGAGGCACGCCCACCGCGATCACCATCTCGCATCTCCCCCACGGCCCGACCGCCAGCTTTTCGCTACACAACGTCGTTCTGCGCGCGGATATCCCGAACTCGGTCCGCGGCACGGTGTCGGAGAGTTACCCGCATCTGATCTTCGAGGGCTTCACAACGAAGCTGGGCCGTCGTGTCGTGCAGATCCTCAAACACCTCTTCCCGCCGCGCGAGGGCGGTGGGAAACTGGGCAACCGCGTGGTCACGTTCCGGAACAAGGAAGACGCCATCGAGGTGCGGCACCACGTCTTCGTGCGGACGGGGCCCCAGGACGTCGAGTTGGCCGAGGTTGGGCCGCGCATGACCATGAGGCTGTTCGAGATCCGGAGCGGCACGTTGGAGAAGAACTCGGGCGGCGATGTCGAATGGGCTCTGACGCAGTACACCCGGACGAGCCGGAAGAAGGATTACCTGTGAGGACAGTATATCTACATCAGATTATTGTATGGCATGGCATCACAGTGTGATTGGCGTACTATGGAGTTTGGGGACAGAAAAAGGATTCGTTACGATTGTTAGGATTGTTCTAAAAGACGATGCTCGAATTTTAGGTACATGGCTGTTTATTATTGTTTTTTATTTCTTTTCTAACAATGGAAAATACCCATTTCCATCCAACGTTTGATGAAGAGAAGCAATTATGAAACGTCAGCATGTCAACTGGTTGGTAAATCATCGTCACTTCTAGAAATGAGTCAGTCATCATATCCGATGAAAACAACCCTAGATCCCTAGATCGATGATCGATAGACTGATATGACCAATAAAAATAAGAATAAAAAAATAAAAAAGGAGATCGCCGGATAAAAAAAACTCATAGGCTCAGAAAATACCCGATAGATAGACGAATATCATAGTAAATTGGGAAAAGGGAGACGGATCAATGGATTTCGTCTCAGAGATCATCCAAAGAGAGGCGCAAAAAGAAAAAAAAAAGAAAAGAGCCCAGCAAGGTCTGTCTGGTCCAATCAACCCAGCTGACTGTCACGTTCTGGATCAGTCGATCACAGTATCACTCTCTTGACAAAGTTCTGGCGATGACTGCTGGTGTTCCTGTTCCTCTTCGAAATCAATGGTCTGAGAAGATCCAGTTTCTTCATCGGCAGTGTCGGCAGTGCCATTTGGGTCATTGCTATCGCTATTGATATTGCTATCCACGCTTGCTGGACGCTGAAAACGGCAGTCTTGGTTTGGTTCTCGGTAGTTGTCGTCCGTCTCGACTATCTCTGGATTTATTGTGCTGTTAACAGCCAAACCCTCAACCCTAGTATCGTCGACGGTCTCATCACAGCGAGTAGTAGTACAAGGACCAGTCGTGTATGATGCAGTTATTTGTTGGGTTTGCGTCTCCTCATTAACGCTCTCAATTTCGGCCTCAACCTTCAGACTAGCCAACAGCCCTGTCGGACGCTCAAACTGGAACAAACCATCGTCCGCAGGGACAGGCTCCCCCCGGGCATCCCTCTTCGGCTCCGGAGTCTTGCTGTCGTCATACTGCTCCTCCCACCGCAGACCCGTCTTGGTCTGGAAGAACTTCTTGAACACGGTCAGGGCCAGGTCGAGGCTGCTTCCGCGCGGAGCGAGCAGCTGCTTGCCCGAGGCGCCGACGCGGCTGTACTTGACGTAGGTTGCGTACACGTGCGGTGTGGCGTCTGATTCGTAGAGCTGGAGCTGTTGAGCAAAGGGATTGTAGATGGGAACGCGGAGGAGGTGGTTGCGAGGGAGGATCTGAGTCGAGAATATGGGACCAGACTGGGAGAGGGTGGACTGTAGGAAAAAGACAATTGACGTGGGATGTTTGCGAAGGGAATAATTGTAAAGAAAGCAACTTATCTTGGCAAGGTATTTCTCCTTCCGACCCTTGACCACAGACGGTCGAACGAGAGTTGCACAGTACGTCACACCAGTTTTCTGGTCTGTGTAGAGATGATAGCCCGCTATACGCACATACGCCGGCAAGTCAGTTCTTAACGAACATATACACGAACTGACAGAACAAATGAGAGAAGAAGTATCGACATACATGACTCCATCTCGGACACGATGGCACGAGCACCCTTTGCAAAGTCTTCCAGAGATTTTGCTGAAACAGAGCACTTAGTTAAAAAAAAAAAAGAAGAAGGGCATGACTCGGGATATTTCTCCATCTTTACCTGCATTGACGCCCCTCTGGTTCTTCTTCTTCGTCTTCGTCTTCGTCTTTTTGTTGGAGGATCTTTGAACCTTGCTATCCTTGGCAGCTTTCTTCTTCTGCTCCTTCAGGATCCTGTCCCAGAGATACGGGCCTTCGCGCTTCGGTCGACGCGTCTTGGACTGCAGCGAATCCTCCAGCCAGTCGTATGTGACAATTTTGATATGCTTGAGGCGTTTGGCCTTGCGGACTGTTTGTCGACAATATTAGTATAAAACTAAAAAAATCCTTGTTTGTAGGTGCTGTCCTGTCATGATGGAGAGCTGCTTACCTGCTTCAACATTCTTCTTGACCGCAGCCTCCGACGCGACGAGATGAGTGACGCTGTCGTTGATCTCCTTCACGTAGACACCGCCGTTCGCTTTGATCCATTGCGGGATCTTGTCTGTGTTGTCGCCGAAGTTGCCGACGGAGCAGGCATGAATCTTCTGGAAGGATTTTCCCATGTTTGCTAGAGAATTTGTTTCTCCTTTTGCTATCCCAGTCAGTTCTGGAGGTGACAGGGAGATGGAGAGTCTGTGCGGCTGTGGCTGTTCGAAGAAAGAGATTATAGTCAAGTGAAGACTGTAGCAAGAAGTAAGAGACGAAAGAGATAAGCAAGATGAAGTGAGAATTCAAGACTGAGAGACGTTAGGTTAAGATATTGAGATTTCGAAGTATTAGAGATGAGGCAGATATGAAAGGTCAAGAGCACATGCAGAGAGAAATGATTTATATCTTTAAAGAAGAATAAGGAGGAAAAAGTAAAATGATACGAATCTAAAGCAGAGAGAGAAAATACTTCGAAGGAAAAAGTACGAAGTATTTCCAATGTCGCCTAAAGGGTTTATATATTGTGTTTCCGCTTTCCTTCAACTCCTTAACTTTCTGTCACTTTTTCCATGCATTACGTGCTTTCGATACTCCCTTTGCCAAAGTGCTGGGCTCATCTGAGGGTCTACTTCCGATATACCTCTGGTTTTATCTCATTACACTCGATCTATGCCCTCAGACTGAGATCATACCATCAGGACTTGCTATCTTTTTCGTCAAATTTCCTAGAAAAAAAATATATCGTCTATAGTGACTATCCTGATGGTCAATAATGACTTACCTCCTCGCGTTTCGTCGGATTTGTGACCGCCCTCAATGAGCTAGGAGAAATAAAAAAAAAGGAATGATACTTTGTCTGGCGAATGACGCGGCTCTACTGCAGAGAATGGGTATATTGTATGTTGCAGGTAACTCGAGTTTGAAAGAGCTGGACAGTCTGCACAAAACCAGGAATATTTCTGTATATAGTTATGGTTCTAAATGACACAGTGAAGTGTTCCCGATGTCTAACCAGCATATGCTGACAACACGTCAAAGATATCATATCCTAATCCACGTAAGATGAAGGCGAAAATGAGGCGAAAGTTGCAGATAGAAATGGAATTATTTGCAGTGTTGTCATCACCCACAATACAACATCATGTCATTCCAACAAGACGACAGACTCATAATTGAATCCCCTTGGCGGCTTTGACGAAAGCTCGGATTTTGTCCAAATCCTGAGCGCCGTCCGTCTCCACGCCGCTGCTCACGTCGACCCCGACGACCTTCTTCGCCGATTTGCCCAGCTTCTTCACTGTCTCAGCAACATTGTCCGGATTTAGGCCGCCAGCAAGGATGATACGAAGGCCGTCGTCGCTCTCGAGCGTTCTTTCCACGCCGGATATATCCAGAAGTTCGCCAGAGCCTCCAGCTCCAGAATCCAATAGCGGCAGAGTGTGATATGCTCGACGCGCCAGACCCGGCTCACCAAGACCAAACTTTCGGATAACCGGTACAGGAATCAAGCTGGCCCATTCTACCGGTTCAGACCCGTGCAGTTGAACTACATCAAGATCTAATTTCCGCTGTTGTTCCAGAACGTAGGACAATGGCTGATTGGCAAAAACACCGACCAGCAATGCGCGAGTAGGGTGGCGCAACACGCTGGAAGAATAGTCGAAATATTCGGTCGAGGAGTAGTTTTGATTGTGTTGTGAGCCTGGGATTGGTTGCGTCGCTGGGCGCGGTGTCGATTTGACAACCTGCGAAATTTGCAAGGCAACCTCGTCTGAAACACGCCTCTTGCGTCCTTCCACCTGTATAATGCCGATCAAGTCGGCACCAGCTTCGATGGCGGCACGAGCTGCCTCTGGGGACCGGGTGCCACAGATCTTTACCAGGGGCGGAGGTGTAGGTGCATCCCTTATACTGCCACCCAGAAGCTCAGAAACGAAAGCAGCAGTGTCCTTTGCTCTCATCAGGGCCTCGCCAACCAAAATAGCCCTCACACCATCCTTCTTGTAAGCTTCGACATCCTTCGGTCCGGAAATTCCGCTCAAAGCACAAACCACAGTTGTGTCTGGTACCTGGTCCATGAGACGACTGGTCGTATCCAGATCGACCTCGAAGCTCGTGAGGTCACGGTTGTTGACTCCGATCACCTGAGCACCCAGTTCCACGGCAATCTTCATTTCTTCCGGGGTGTTGACTTCGACAAGAGGTTCCATTCCCAGACTTCGGGAATAGTTGTACAGTTTCTTCAGCAGGTCAACACTAAGCATCTTCACAATAAGCAGCACGGTATCAGCGCCAGCCAAACGCGCTTCCAATATCTGATACTCGTCAAAGATAAACTCTTTGCGCAAGACTGCAGGCCGATTCGGCAGACCCTCTAAGCTCTGCCGCACGGCGCGCAGGTCGTCCAGGCTTCCTTTGAACCATTCCGGCTCTGTCAGGACCGAAATAACGCTAGCGCCAGCTGCGGCATACTTCCTGGCTTGCGCAGGAGCACAGACTGAGGCCGCAATTATCCCTTTCGACGGTGACGCACGTTTGATCTCTGCCATCAGCGACAAGTTGTATGGAGACTGCTTTAGACGAGCAGGGAACGATATCTGTGGCGGCGCGATTCCGAGATCATAGGAGGCTTGGAGATCTTCAGGCCGCTGGGAAGGGATCAACTTCTGGGCTGCGACAGCCGCCTTCCGATGAGAGTAGATTGTTACCAGGATAGACGTCTTCTTTCCTTGCTTTGCATCACTATTGGCGTTCACAGGAACCGTGCCATTGCTCCCTGCAGCCTGCGTGGACTCGCCATTCAACCGTCGGTTCTCTTCCCAGGTACCTCCTCGCAACTTGAGGAAGTTCCGAAACATTGTCCTTCCGTGCTCCGTGAGAATGCTTTCGGGATGGAACTGAACACTTTCCACGGTCAACTCCTTGTGCCGGACGCCCATGATGACGCCCTTGCCGCCATCGCCATCCAAGTTTACCCAGGAGGACACTTCGAGGCAATCGGGGATGGTCGAATGGGTCCCTGCCAATGAGTGGTATCTGGTGACAGAGAGGGAAGGTGGAAGGCCCGCGTAAACGCCTTTAGAGTCATGCTTCAGTATGGACGTCTTGCCGTGCAGGATTTCCCCAGTCACGTCGACCCTGCCGCCAAAGCAGGAAATGATGCATTGTTGGCCCATGCAAACCCCAAACACGGGAATTTTACCGCTAAAATACTCGATGGCCGCCTTGCTGATACCAGAGTCAGTGTCTGGATGGCCCGGCCCGGGGCTGATAACCAGCTGAGTCGGCTTCTTTGCGATCAATTCCTCCAGGGTGATTTTGTCATTGCGGTAGACGGTGACGGTCGCACCCTCCAGGACGAGGTACTGGTAGACATTCCAGGTGAACGAGTCATAGTTATCGATCAGAATGACATTGGAGGCAGTCTCAATCCTCTCCGCCTTGGTGGGATGGTGGGGTGAATAGTCAACCAGGCCGTTGTCCATCTTGATAAAATGCAGCGACGACTGAAACGTAGAACCGCGACGGAAGCAGGTGCTTGCCAGGGCCGGACATTCACAGCAGGGTCGATCTGTCCAGAACACTGTGCACCTGGAGCAATTGTCCAGAATAATGGCAATTAGACTGAGTAAATCAATGCGGATGACTCCAAACTAAGATCGCGCGGAGGCTAACTAAGTGGCGATTAGTCCGAATGTCGGAGCCATCGCCAAACCCCCAATCCGGTTAGTCGCTGGCCCGTGATGGCGCTAGTCCCGGATAGGCAAGCATTCATTGTTGTCGCGCTGATTGAAACTTCAATGCTGCAGCTCCAGCTCCAGCTGCAAAATCCTCCCCAGCTACCTCCAATTTTCCCCGGGGAACTCCAGCCCCTGCGGACGGTCTCTCCTTGCGAATTGGATTTTTTTTCTCTTGGGCTGGATAATGATATAGCTGTGCCACCTATGGCTCCGGTCCCGGAAGCCTATTTTGCGTCCCTGGACAAATGTTTCTCTGGGGACGCCCAGCTTCTGTACGAGGATCTCTGTTCGTGGTAAGACGAGGCTAACGTGCAGTAGGTCGTGGAAGAGAGTCTTCCTGTATCTATGCGACCCCGAAAAACACTCCGACGATGCAGGAAGTGCACAACCTTTCTTGTGGCATCCGGAGAGCATCCGTCTCCTCTCTCATAGTCTCGCTCCGTTCGCTCCGCCGTCTGCCAAATCCAAGTCCGAATTCGAGTCCAAGACAGCTGCGATCAATGTTGAAACATCACCGCAGGCGCCCTATAACTTAGACGAGATCAAGTCGGATGCTCTGTGGCTCAGTAAGCATGCTGGCATTGACGAAGTAACCGCCTTGCGCATCACGGTGCTGGAATGGCAGAGCCGGCCAAACGCGCGGCTCCTGGCCAGATTTTCAGCAGAAGAAGCGACGAGTTTACAGGATGCGACAAGTGTGGACAGCTTTCGGGTCTCGCTTGCCGGGCCGCAGGTGATGGATATTTTGAAGAAATCGACTACCGGCGATGCAGACGACTCGGCAGAATTTTCGTCCGAAAAGGCCAGACGTCTACGGCTGCGGCACATTTACCTGTCTGAAAGGAGCCATATTCTCAAGACTTCACGAAAGTTGCTGAGCCTCTCTTTACGCGACAAGATTCCAAGTGATGTCGGGCGGATCCCGGCTCCCAGCCGGGGGAAGGAAACAGAAAGAGAACATAGTCTCCGCCGCCTTGGGGAAACGATCTTCAAGGACAAGACCGGTGAGGAGGAGAGCAATCGATTCCTTGAGGACTGTGTCAAAGCCGTTCAGACGCGAATTGCTGATTTTCAGAGCGATGGTGGATGGCTGAGCGCTGCTGAGAGTGATGCGGAGACTGAAGCCACTTGGCGTACAACCCTCATCGACGAGATCGTGCATATTATGCAGATAATGTTTTTGCGGCTTCAGTCATCCGAAACTATTCCAACGGGGGCCCTGTTGCTTTCTTGGCTCCGTCTTATGGCAGACTGCGGGTTTCTGGAGTCGCTTTCCACAGTGAGTGCTGCTGCTGAAGGTGTCCTACTTTATGGCGGAAATTTTCTGACTAAAAGTCCTGTAGCCGTGCGAAGATCCTTTGACCCTAATGCTAGCGCTCCAAGCCCTTGCCTCTGTGACAACCCTGTCGTTCCTAAAACTCCCAGTTTCCATGGCTTTCGTGTGGAAGAACGCCTCTCTATCCCAGTATGAGGTGCCAAGCAAATCTCGTCCCTATTTTCTCTCCCGCGAACATATTGCCGAAATCAATGAGGTTTTTCTCAACTCTGTCAGTATGGGGGTCTTAACTGCAAGCCCTGCGGTCTTTGCATGGGGGACGATTTTACATTCCATGCAGGACATAGCACTTTCGGCCAAGGAAACTCGGGAGATGGAACAGTTCCAGAGCGCCGTGGACTCTTTCCAATCAAACACGCCTTCCGCATCGCCCGTACGCGGGTCTGAGCAGACTCTCTATGAGGAGTTGCTAGATCTAGCCCGAATTCCCGCCTATGGCGATGACTTTCTTGGGATCTTAACGTCAGGGGCGATAGACAGAGGCCAGGTCTTTGAAGTAATCATCAATTTGGCTTCCAAGGTTGGCACAATCTCGGCTATCGATGATGTTGTCACGAGCTTGTGGATCCGCAGTTCTCTTCTGGGCCTTGTCCGCGTCACTTCCGTGTACATGGATTATTCACCGGAACTCGTAGAGGCTGCACTGGCTATTCTGAATGGTTCATCCACCGACTCCCTCCGTGGCCGTGACGATTCCATAAGCTATCCCAGCGATCCGAGGTACGTCTTTTTGAAGGACAATCAACTTATGGATAGAATATTCCGAATCGCCCGGTCTCGTTTCCCCTATGAATCCGTGCCGTTCCTCAAGCTGTGCCGTGCTTTGACGGGCAAGGATCAAGTAAGCGATGGTGGCATCCTCGCAATACTTTCTGAACTGGAAAATATGGAAACCTTCACCCAAATTGTTTCGCCGGATTTCCAGGGCTATGAAACCATCCGTGAAGAGGAGAACGCAAATTTCGTCTCTCTTATTGAGCCGATTCCCATGATAGCACCAGCCTCGAAGAAGCCGAAGACCAGTCCCAGCGCGGAGAATGCTCTGATTGTCACAGCGGGATCCCAGATTCAACCTGCGACAACAGGCCAAGTGATTTCCGAGTCAAAGCCCGCCGTGATCATGTGGTATCACCAATACTCATGCTTGAGTTTTCTGGGCAGTTGGCTAGAGGAATGGGCCGAGAGCGGCGGAAATTCACCAGATGCGGATGAAGATACGATCGCCGAGATAGTAGGATTACTGACCGACCTTATGGCTTCCGCTCGAAGTGGAAAAACCCACGATGAAGATGAATATGGCCCCAAGAGGATCCTGGAGCTAGCTAGCGATGGTCTTTCTAGTCGAGGCGACGTTGTCTCAGTGGTTCTCGATATTTTAGAGCGCAACTTGCAGAATGTTGGCATCCAGGCTGGCGCCCGCAGCCCGCTAGAATTGAGCATTGCTTGCCTGCAGTTCGTCAATGTTCTCATGACAATCCTGCCCAACCGAGTGTGGCCATTCCTCTCTCGAAGTAGCTTGTTGGGCTCTGGTGGACAGGGGGGCCGGATGACTGCGATTGTCTCCGCCAGCGAAGTAACTTCTGGAGACTATCCGTTTCTACTCAGCTGCATTCATCTCTTTGACGCGGTTGTGGAAGATGCGATATCCCATGCGGCCATCAGAAGGACAACGAACCGTGTTACGTCGAGGGCCAGCAGTGTCGCCGATTGGAGCGCAGGAGTGCCATCCCATGTTATGCGCAACGTTCTGCTGAGTTTCGTCCGAACGATGATCGAAGTCTACAACAGCGACGCAAACTGGAGGTTCAATGAACACGAGCAGAGACTTCAGATCGAAGCTGTCCTCGCCAGCAATTTTGAGAGGATTCTCTATTACGCGTACGGAATCGATGAGACGGAAAGCTCCGAGTCAAAGATCACAGGAATCTTTTCCGACTGCGCGGCCTACATCCTAGACGTCCTCCGACCCGCTTCGAAGGATGAACTGCCTTTCAATCCGGTTCTTCGGATTATCATCGATGGCCTCCAGACTCCAACGTCGACCGTGTACCTCCGACGGTTGATCTTCATCGAAAGGCAACTGAAATCCACGCTGAAACTGGCGATCAAGTTGGTCCAGGCAGCACAGCTTGTCGGCTCTTCGGTCTCGTTGTTAGAGGATCAGTTGTTCAAGGCCGCGCCCGTACTCGCCAAATTGTACTGCTGCCATGACCGTTATTGTCTCCCCGTGATAACTCTCCTCGACTTGCTGGTCACCAGGGCTGCTGGCGATTCGGAGAACGAACCACCGTCACTGCTTGGTCACTTGGGAGCCGAATCATCATGCCTCTTTCTCGATGTGCTGGCCCAGTTTGACAGGCCGCTTCATGACTCTCGGTTATTTACCTCCATTTGGCGACTCCTGTCCACGTTTGTCAGTAAGCGCCAGCAATGGCTCGCGGTCTATCTTCTCACTGGATCATCTCCTCGAGAGTCTCTGAAGCAGAAGGATGGGAAGAAAGCACCGGCGATGAGAGGGACGCCATTTCTCAAGACCGCGCTCGACACCTTGTCAAATATCGAACAGACCGATCCCGCGGTTTCTTTGGCTCTCCTGGAATTTGTGTCGCTTTCACAGGAGCACTGGCCCTGGGCCACCCCGCAACTAGGGAGGCACCCGAATTTCTTTAACGCTGTCATTCACTACGTTGCGCACTTGAAGATCGCTGGCCAGTCACCGACGGCCCAGATATATCACACCCAAATTGCCGCCATCACGGCTGATCTGTGCGCCGTCTACCTGCACTCTGCCAAAGAGGCACGGGACCAGTCGTTCTTCAAGACCCTGATCCCATTGGTTTCCTGGTTCGCAGAAAACGGGGTGGACGTCTCCGGCTACAATGCCTCGTTGCATGCTAACCTGAAGAAGAACTTTGAGATGAAGTACAGCGGCTGTAAGCTCCACAATTTCAAGAGGACCGCCCTTGAGAAACGGCCATTGGGGAAGGACTATTATTACGACATGTATCTTGCGGAAAAGTTGCTTTCCTTTGACTTTGCGTGGAGTGGGAAGAAAAACCAAGGCTTTGCGGAAGAATTTGAGCGGGCGAATGTCAATCTATCGCTCGTAGAAGCTCAAGTGGTACGTGAAGAAACTACAGATTGCTACGCCTCAGACTAACTTGGAAAAAAAATGTAGAATCTATTCCACAGCTGGAAGTTTTTCGCCCTGGAACACTCCACGGATTTCATGCCGGACAGAGAAGTGCAGAGGTCAATGGCCTTGGTGGTCCGAAACTGCCTGACTGCGAACAGTCGCAGCGTCCCACAAGAGGCGATCTTCAACCGGTTGCAGCAGTCTCGGGTCGACTTTGCCTTGGCCCTGCTGCAGCGGCTGGTTGAGGTAGGCTCAAGAGGCTCGGAAGTGTTTAGCTTGCTGGAAGTTGTTTGGGAAGCGATCCGTGCTCGTGGCACCACCTACGAGAATGCACTGATTCACGATGACACGGAGTATTATCGGTCTCTTCTCAACGTCCTCTTCCTTGCGCTTCAATTCCATGTCGCCGGACCCGCCCGTGCGGCCCCGGAGGCCGTGAGCAAGAAGCCAGAGCTGTCATCGGACCTGTCCATTATCGTGGAAGTCGTGAAGGTCGTGATTGCACAGGGTTTCAAGTCTCTCACGACTTACCTGCATGAGGAGCCGCAAAAGTGCTCGCCTAAGGACTTTGCGATCCTGACGGCCATCCTTCAGACGGCCTTGCGGGTGAAGAACGCCGAAAGGATCTACGAGCACATCGTCTATCACATCGAAGACAACGACGTCGCTCGATATGCGTGCACGCTATTCTCGTGGGCGGACCAGCTCACCGTTGAAGGGGATCCCATCTATGGCGAGCTTAGCATCATCTTCTTGGTCGAACTGTCGACTATCCCGATGCTCGCAGAATACCTTGCTGTCGAAGCGGTCCTGATGAAGCTGTCGACCAGTCGCCTGGCGCGCGTCCTCGGGCAGCCTAGGGGATGCGGGCCGTTTGATGCGGTGCCGCGAATGTACGCCATCTGGACCGGGGGTTTCCTCCCACTGTGCCTGAACCTCCTATACCATGTGAATCGAGCTGCGCCTGAAGTGGCCGCGTTCCTGAATCAATTCGAAGGGCAGTTGAACCGAGCGGCGGAGGCGTTCGCGGGAGGCCATGCCCCGGTGGCGTCCACGCAATCGGCGAAGAAGATCAGTCTGGCCATGGCAACGGAAGCATCGTCGTTGGCGCTGATCTCGTTCATCCTGCAGCGATATCGGGAAGCCGGTGCCAGCACGGGGGTGGACGGGCAGGCGATCCAAGAACTGAAGTGGGACAAGGGGCAGGTGAAAGACGACATCGAGGAGCTGCTGGGACGGCGACCCAGCCTCCGGGCACGCATCGTGGCGACCAATGAGAAGGAGCTCGAGATGGCACGGCAGAAGCCGCAGAACGCGGCGTCGGGGGCCGAGAGCCGGCTGGAAGAGAAGATCGTGGAGGAGTTGACGGCGGCATTGACCTGTCTGTCGGGCGGGGAGGAAGCAGCATAGCAGAAGAATATCGGGCGTTGGTTTGCTGGTCGTTGCTGGTCGTTGCTGGTCGTTTGCTTTGGACTGTTTCTGTTTCCCTGGAGGAAGGCATTTAGTATTGACTAAGAAGGCGATGAGTATTATCCATAGACGCGTCGATCTAGAAGCACTATGTCAGCTGTAATATGAACTGTTTATCGACATATCGACCCTATTGACTGCTAGCATGTAAACCCAGTAATTTCTGTCCCATTTCGACTCCAAAGATCGACGATCTCCGTTGTAGTGCATCTTGGATGCAACGTGCCGGCGAACCTCGGCATCGGCGAAAGATGGCGGCGGAGCTGGAGATTCTCCACAATCCCCGCATGGGGGATAAGACAGACACGAGTTTAGTTTACGATCTACAATCCATTGGCAAATTGCGGATGATGGCACTGGAGGGAGGCATTTCATTTCAATCGACGCCGTATCTAGGCAGTAGAAAAAAACACGTCCTTAATCGCTTGATTGCAATTGTTATCAGACAGGATATCTTCCGATGACCGATAGCGTGCTTCTCGGAGTATATCTCATGAATACAAGCCAATGTCTTTGTCTGGCGGGATTTCCTGAATGGGAGGAATTCCTCGCTTTTATGGCAAAATATGTATGCACAAGGACGGATTCAGTATTAAGTAACACAGGCATTGCTATCAGATCGGAGCGGATCCTGTAGCACGTACATACATAGCGTGTACGAACTCCTGCCTAAGTTTTGTCTATACCTAGGTAGAACAGTTCCCCACTCGCGTTGCTATGTAGTTATAGCTCATTGACGGCGCTCGCTGTACAGAATGCTAATGGCACTGTCTGGCCGATCTGGGAGACTAAATTTAGTCCGAATCCACCGTCTCCTCACCAACACTCCTGCTGCTGCTGCTGCTGCTGCTGCTGCTGCGGCTTATTTGACCTCGTCGCCTGCCTGGATTAGGACTGTTCTTGGTTGATGGCTTGTTTGCCTTGGCTGCTATCCTTCACTAATTCTCGTTGGTGGACATCTGGCTTTGTCTTCAGTCCTTATCAAGGAGCTGAGAAGCGAAACTAAAGAAAAAGAAACTAAAGAAAAAGAAGAGAGAGAGAGAGAGCACAGCATGCCCCTCAAATCGCGCTGGCAAGTGCCTATCCCCGACATCCATCTGGCCTCTCTCGTCTTTACATCGCCCACCCACCCTCTGTCGACGACCCAGCGATGTCTGATAGAAACAGCACGCCCGGACACGCACTTCTTCACCGTCCATGACTTCCGCCTCTGGAGCCAGCGGTTCGCGGCCGGGCTGCGCAAGGCCGGCGTCCAGCCCGGCGACCGCATCCTGTTCTTCTCCGGCAACGATCTGTTCTACATGGTCGTGTTCATGGGCACCATCATGGCCGGCGCCATCTTCACGGGCGCCAATCCCACCTACGTGCCTCGCGAGCTGGCGTACCAGCTGCAGGACAGCGGCGCGACATATCTCATCTGCGCCGAGGCGAGCCTGGACACGGGCATTGCGGCCGCCGAGCAGATCGGCATGGGCAGGGACCGGATCTTCGTCTTCAACAACGCCGTCTACGAGGGCAAAGGCGAGGGCAAGCGCGGATGTCGCTACTGGGGTGAGCTGATCGCGTCCGAAGACGAAGGCTGCCAGTTCGCCTGGGATCCGCTGGAAACGCCGTCCGCAGCGTCCGAGACAGTCCTCGCGCTCAACTATTCCAGCGGCACGACGGGCAAGCCCAAGGGGGTCGAGATCACGCACAAGAACTACGTCGCCAACACGCTGCAGTCGCTGCACCTGGCCAAGCTGGACCCGGAGTACGAGGAGAAGAACAAGAAGGCCCGCTGGCTGTGCTTCCTGCCTCTGTACCACGCCATGGCCCAGACGATCGCCGTGTCGGCCATCTTGCGCCGCGTCCCCGTCTATGTCATGCCGAGGTTTGACTTCCTCAAGGTGCTGGAGTACACCGAGCGGTTTCGCATCTCGTCCCTGTTCCTGGTGCCGCCGGTGGTGGTCGCGCTGGCCAAGCATCCGGCCGCGAAGAAGTACGACCTGAGCAGCGTGCAGAGCATCAGCTGCGGCGCGGCACCGCTGGGCAGAGACGTGTGCGAGCAAGTCGAGGCGCTGTGGAAAGACGGCAGTGTCAATATCAAGCAGGGCTGGGGGATGACCGAGTAGGATGATCCTGATTTTTCAGTTGTACTAGACAAGCTAATTCGAGATCAGGGTGACATGCACATTCATGTCCTTCCATCCAAGCGAGAAAAGCACGACCTCGTCCGTGGGCGAGCTGGTCGCAAACTGCGAGGCGAAGATCATGGCCGACGACGCCGTCACCGAGCTGGGACGCAACCAGCGGGGGGAGCTGTGGGTGCGAGGGCCCAACGTGATGAAGGGATACTGGCGCAACCCGCAGGCGACGAGGGAGACCAAGACGGAGGATGGGTGGCTGAAGACGGGCGATATAGCCTATGTTGATGACGAGGGGAAATTCTACGTCGTTGACCGGAAGAAGGTAGTCTACCTATATCAATATATCAAGGTGCTTTGTGGATTCATTCTGATTTTTCTTAGGAGCTTATCAAAGTCAAGGGCAACCAGGTTGCTCCGGCAGAGCTCGAAGCTCTACTGCTGGAGCATCCAGCCGTGGCCGATGCTGCTGTGATTGGACTTCAAGTGTATGCATCTTTACTACGTCCTTCCATTCCCACAAGAACTAACCACAAATGTGAATTCCCAGCAACAACGAAGAATACCCCCGCGCATACATCGTCCTCAAACCAGGCCACACCGCCTCGGCAGAGGACATTGTGCAATTCATGAACGAGCGCGTCGCCCCCGTGAAACGCATCACCGGAGGCGTGGTATTCACCGACTCGATTCCGAAGAATCCGTCCGGCAAGATTCTGCGACGGGATCTGCGTGAGAGGGCGAAGAAGGAGGTTGCTGGTACTGCCAAGCTGTGATAAGCATCAGTATATGGAAGGAGAATCAGTATATGAAAATGTATGAAAGAGGACGACCTGTGGATGGCATACAAATGGAAATACTACGTATTATACAAAGCGGAGTAATATGCGCTTGCGAGTATGTACATGTTTTTTCTTTTTATAATGTCCCCACCCTCCCCAATAGCTCAAAAGGAACGAGGACGAGGTACTGCCATAAACATGACTTTGTAAGTATAGTTAATAGCGAACATGATAGTTAATGTAGCGATACAAGAAACATCAAGTGTCGACATGTGATTTTGTCAGCAACAGTCAGTGTAGATCCTAGTCTGCTAGTTATCATCATATATATCACTACGAACTTTTTGTCCGTGCCAAAGGCAGCTTTCTGGTAGATGGCTATTAGGAGTAAACATATATAGGGGTGGCTTCTAGAGATAACCTATATTATGGCTATAACTTTATACTCCTCTTGTGCTTTTAGCAACTTCTTTAACTGCTTTTGTAGGATCTTCCTACTAGAGCTTTGGAATATGAAATGAGGTCGAGAAGTTTCTGACTGGCTAATTCTTATATAATTCAAAAGTGTATATATGCGTACAATATGTCGCGGTACGATGCGGCATTCACGATGGAAGGACCTTTTGACGGAAAGCATGGAGGTTCCATCTCCAGTCACATGGGATGCCTGTGACTTGGGTATAGATATTATATTCCTTTCCCTGTAGGTATTGTACATACGTGGTCGGAGGACCCTTCCTCCATTATCTCATGGCTCATCCTTCATAGCATTGCAATACTGCTTTAAGCATTGACACAATATCCAATTAATATGCAATTAGTATTACCAAGCATGCTTTATAAAGTAAATCCCAAAAAGATGTCTCCATAAAAAGAGTTATTATTATTAAATACCAAGGTCGTCATAAAACAGTGTACTACTACTAAATCCATCTTAGGGGTATTTCGATAACTCAAAATTAAAAATATTCCAACTTAATTAATCAGCCCAGACAAAAAAAAAAGAAGACCTCTTCCAAGCAGCTGAGTTGAGGTTAAGGTTCTTTGCATAGCATGACCGTTCAAATGCCGCAAACAGAATTAATTCTTTTTTTTTGGTTTGCCCGTCGCAAGTCAAGTCAAGCTTTGGGAACGTTGCCATCCCATCATATCCTATTCTTTCTATGTATGTATGTGTACGAGATACATACCTAGCTTTTTTTTTGGGTTCTTACGATGAAGTAGGTACCTAGGTAGGTAGTGACTTTATTATGCACAGACAGACCTCAACTATTAATACTGGCGCAGGCGCAACTCGTAAGCCTTGATTTTTTTTTGTTTGCTGGTAGACTCCCGCCTCTACTATTTCTGTTCTTTTTTTTTAATTAATTCTGTCCACTGACGTCTTATTGCAGAGCAATGCAATGCAATGCAATGCAATGCAATGAAATTAATGGCAGAAAGTCAGTCGAGAAGAATACATACACCACTGCTAGCACGTTAAGGAAATAAATCCTAGGAGTACTATACAGTACAGTACCTCAGTGATCATAAGAAGTCCGGGAGACTCTCGACATAATATAAGTGGTTTTAGGCAAAAAAAAACCTTGGAGTAAGTGAGTGAGTGAGTGAGGTCAAATATTTGGACAGCAGCCAGATCAGACCAGACAAGACCAGACGCGTACATACAAAGAAAGAGAATTTTCTTTTTTTTAGGGGGAGAATACTGTATGGAAAGTTCTTCAAAAAAAAAAAGAACTGGATGGAGATGATGATGAGATAGATTGATAGATCAAACCAAGTATATACTGATTGATGTCTTAAATAAAGCAACTTTTTTTTTGCTGCCAGCTCCAAAGGGTAGTAGTACCATTACCAGTTGAAATTGGCCTTTCTGTAACCAAAAGCTTCAACTTCTTCTAATAAATAACGAGGATGAAACTGGAACTAATAAATACTAATACTACTGGGTATATATATGTCGTGAGCTGCTGCAGAGGATCTTGTTTGTCGCTATAAGTTATCTTAGTACATTACAAGTACTACTGTACTGTACTGTACTGTACAGATCAGGAGAGAAGACAAGATCTGGATGGAGGGGGATTTTAGGGGGGATTTTATGGAGGATTTCAGGGGGAAAGATACTGCTTTCTTCGAAATTCATAACACGGATAAATTCTAATAACAATTGTGCAGTCTGAGTAGATATGGCACGTCAAAAATTGCAAACGGAGTACTCCGTATGTGGGTCATAGGCAAAGACGCTGGACGCAAGCCAAGAAATTAGGTACGCACGTGGTTAGTTATTAGTACGGAGATGACTTACTCTGTTATCAAGGGTTTTGAGTTTTGATGCTCTTTTCTCAATACGGAGTACGGTCTACGGAGTAAGTCGGAGATGGCTGATGCTGACAGCCTGACTAGCATGCAATGGACTACTCCGGAGTACTCATTCATGATGCAGTATGTGTGCATCGAGTTACTCCTTAGAGCATCGGTTGCGGAGGGCGAAAAAAAAAAGATAACTCCTGTCTACCGAATACTGTCTACTGTTCGACTGGACGCTCAACAGACCTCGCCGCAACTGTAGGCTGGTGAGATGAGATCTGATGTCAGCCCTGCATCTGCTTCGAAGCAGATGTCTGATCATAAGGCGGCCACCATGTGACCACCGAATTATGCTTATTGCGAATCGCCATACTAAAGCAAACCCGTACTCCGTATGTGTCTTGTCTAATTCGGTAGCCTTCCGGCTAGGGGCCAAAGAATCATCATCGAAGGCTTTTAGAAGCTGGACTGCGAGATGACCAGAACTAAGGGTCCGTCATTTGCCACGCGACAAACGGGGCGTCCATGTACGCATGATGCATCCCAGGTTGCCGTGCCGTTCATGTAAGCTGCGAGTCAATGAAGACCTCTGACCTGGCCTCTTTCGGTGCTCTTCAGGCCGGCGAAATGATTAGCCTGCGACCAACGTGATCCTGGCCTTGTGCGACGCACCGTCTGTCGGACTCTGTCCCCATCCCTGGACAATCAGAACGCCGGCCTGTCTGGGAAATAGATAGTGTCGGCACCCTAAGCACTAGGAGAGTCCCCACCGGGTGGAGATGCCCTAACGTCCAGTATCCGAAGGCCGAATGAGGAGATCCTCCGACTGATGGACATATCTGTGGCCGTTCAGAGTTTCTCTAACGAGCCAGTGTGTCGATAAATTCGTGCGCGGCGAGAGAACTGGGTCTGATCGGTATGGAGACGGAGTACTCGGTCGTTGGCTTAAAGCGTTGTGCAGGCTACTCCGTATGCAGCATGCTACGGCGGATGATGAGATCCACCGGTACACAGCAATTAGCTTGTGCTGGGCCGACGATAGTCTATACGGAGTACGGAGTCAGCCACACGTCGCTTTCTAGAACTTCGTCAGTAACCGGTGACGTTGCGCAACACAAAATTTCCGACCGTGGTGGTCTCTGCATCCTGTCCTCTGTCCTCCCATGCCATCCTATCTCGTTCAGGCATGGCATACTGGAGGAGACCTGTGCTCCGTCAGTGTTGGCTAGGCGCAGCCATCGCAGGAGCATCAGGGGTAGGGATGGACCGGCTAGGAGATGTTCCGACCACAGTAGCAGTTATACAGAGCACTATTATACAGGCTGCACTGGAGCAACCACGCACACGCAAAACGTGAGAAGACTCGGGCTTCACTGATACTCCACAGTCAACTGTCAGGGTTGATATCAGTCGCAAACTTACGTACGGAGAATTCAGGCGCTGTCTCCGCCGGACTAGCGGCTCGAGAGGCTAGTGAGAGGGGACGAGGTGCAGCGCGTGGTGATGGGACCCTGGGGCTGCCCATCATTTCTGATCTGCAGCTGAGCGGCCAGGGGGCGACGGTTGCAACGAACTTGGAAGGCATCCGGAGAGAAGAGAGCCAGCGTGGCCTATCGATAATCCGGCCGCTTATCGGCCTGCAAAAGCGGCCAATGGCCGAATGCGGCTAGCGTGACGCCGGCAGCCAGTCAGGATGGCCGTGACGAGCCTAACCGAAGGGCCCCATGCCAGGACGCGCGCTCATTGGCTGCGATAATTCGGCCCCTTGCGCCGCCCTAAGCTCTCCAACCTTGGAAATCGCCCACTGCCGGCCACGCTCCCGAGCAGCATCGCTGGCTGGGGGTTGTCCGACGCTCTGTAGCGGTTGCAGAGCAGAAAATTCAATTTCATCGCCAGGTCGCTGGTGAGGAGAAGAAAGCATCAGCAGCAGGAGTGCTCTGCGCTGCGCAACTCAGGCCAGGCGACCATCCCAGGAGGGCAAGCGAGCGCCCACCAGCTCCACCGCGCTCCCCGGAAAAGAAGTCCTCAGCGCGCGCAAGATCCCCCTCGCGGCCGCTAACCTGACTCGATCAGCCTCTCCTCCCTTTCTCCCCTGCCTCCCCCTCCCCCCTTTCACTAAAATTCGGCCAACCACGCCCTAATTCACTCCCCTGGCGCCTTCATTTCCTTGTCGCTGCCCGTTCGATCTGATCTTCTCTTCACCACTCTCTTCTCTCTCTCTTCGCTCCCTCCCCCGTCGTTGCTGCCGCCCCTCCTCCGGCGTCCGTCGTCTGTCCTTACTCTTAGGGGGATTGTCGTTGCTCTCGACTGCTTCTTCTTCCTCCTGCTGCTGAGTGACTGACTGACTGCGTTCCCTGCTCTCCCAATCCGCCCGGGGAGTGACTTGGGGATTATTAATCGTCCCGAACCAACCCATTGCCTGCGTCCCATCGGTCCGTGACTGAGAACAGGAATGTGAGTGAATAGACGCCGGCCTGCTTCTGGAAGAACACACCTCCATCTCTCTGTTTTGCATTGTTGGTCCCATTTGCTGCGTGTGGCTGCTCTCTGCTCCTGAACAGGCGTGCTCTCCTGAGAAGTGTCCTGTTGCCGCGGCGGCTGTCGTGCGCACGCCTCCTTGCTCCTTACTTCCTGCATCTCCCCCACCAAAACATCGCGTCCGTCTGCTTGCCTGCTGTCCCTCTTGTCTAATTCCCGTTCTGCTCTGTCAACTGCAATCAAATACGTGCCATCTGGAATTGACTGCGGTATTGACTTGCGTGCCTTGTCGTGCTGACCATTGGCTTTCTTCCTCTGCAGTGTCAGTCTGCGACCGCTTCGCCGGCGTTACGAGCCCTGTTTTCCACCTTTCGACCGGACCTGTTGATTCTTGATTGGAGAGAAGTCCCATAAACAGCCGCCAAGATGGGTTGTGGAATGAGTACCGAGGATAAGGAGGGGAAGGCGCGCAATGAGGAGATTGAGAACCAGCTGAAGCAGGACAAGTTGAGGCAGCGAAATGAGATTAAGATGCTGCTTCTCGGTAAGGACCTTGTCACGGATCCGGATCCCAGATTCGTATCCGGTCGCTGACGATGCGCGTCCCAGGTGCCGGAGAGTCGGGCAAGTCCACCATCCTGAAGCAGATGAAGCTGATCCATGAGGGCGGCTACTCGCGCGAGGAACGAGAGTCATTCAAGGAAATTATCTTCAGCAACACCGTCCAGTCCATGCGAGTCATCCTCGAGGCCATGGAATCGTTGGAGCTGCCGCTCGCCGACCCCAGTTGCGAGTACCACGTCCAGACCATCTTCATGCAGCCCGCCCAGATCGAAGGTGACACCCTCCCTCCGGAGGTTGGTGCTGCCATTAAGGCCCTGTGGAAGGACGCCGGTGTCCAAGAGTGTTTCAGTCGATCCCGTGAATACCAGCTGAACGACTCGGCCAAATAGTGAGTTTCTCGCGTCTCACCCCGATCCGTCAAACCGTCAAACCCTTGATAGTACTTTCTGCTGACCCTTCCAGCTACTTTGATTCCATTGACCGAATTTGCCAGCCCGACTACCTGCCCACCGACCAGGATGTCCTCCGTTCCCGTGTCAAGACCACTGGTATCACTGAGACCACCTTCATCATTGGTGACCTGACCTACCGCATGTTCGACGTCGGTGGTCAGCGTTCTGAGCGGAAGAGGTGGATCCACTGCTTCGAGAACGTCACCACCATTCTGTTCCTCGTCGCCATCTCGGAATACGACCAGCTCCTGTTCGAAGATGAGACGGTGAACCGGATGCAGGAAGCCCTGACCCTGTTCGACTCCATTTGCAATTCGCGCTGGTTCATCAAGACCTCCATTATCCTCTTCCTGAACAAGATCGACCGCTTCAAGGAGAAGCTCCCGGTCAGCCCGATGAAGAACTACTTCCCGGATTACGAGGGCGGTGCCGACTATGCTGCCGCTTGTGACTACATCCTCAACCGCTTCGTCTCGCTGAACCAGGCCGAGCAGAAGCAGATCTACACTCACTTCACTTGTGCCACTGACACTACCCAGATTCGATTCGTTATGGCTGCTGTCAACGGTAAGTCCTGTCTTGCGACATTATCTGGGGCATGTTTGCTGATTAGAATTTATAGATATCATCATCCAAGAGAACCTCAGAATGTGTGGTCTGATATAATGAAATGCGTGGATTTGGGGTTGACGGAATTCCACGTCCAAAAACGCCTTAGGTCACTGTTTCCACGAGATTTTTTTTTCTTCTTTTAATTCTTGGTTGCGGCTTCCTTTGGTCTTTCCCCCCCCCGTTTCCCCCTTTCTCAATACCACCATACGCTGTCCATTTTTCTTGTTTGCGTCATCAAAATACTGGCGTTGAGACCTTCCAGGCATTTTCTATTCCCTCGAATCAACACCCTTCGGCTTCCTTTGTAGCACCACCCCACACTGTCCGCCGCGCATGTTTCCACTGATGGGTGGATGGGTTTCGGATTGTACAGTGATGTTTCTCCCCGCCACGGACCGATCGATTACCTGCGACGTTGAACCCTGCCGCCAATATTCTTTTTTCGGGATGTGTGGGTACACTTCTTGTATTGTTTTTTGATTTGTCTGTTTATTAGTTTCATCTTGCTGGAGCGATTGTATTTCCTTTGTCAGTGTCATGGTTTCGGCTTCTGCGCCCTGTTTGTTGGATTTGAGCGCTGGAGACAATATCCCCTGGAGACAATATCCCCACCATCGAACTCGTCACCGCCTGTCATGTGTAATCGTATGTCTGTTTCATATTGTTTCATATCTTGTTTTCTCTTGTTTTCTTTCCTGTGTTTTTCTTTTTTTTACTTTTTTTTCTTTTTTTCTCCTGGATAGTCTCGGGTAGAAGCAATGGGATGACAAATGGGCAATGGACACTGGAAGAGAAATGACAGGAATATTTTTTTTTAACAAAAAAACCAACCAACAAAAAAAAGCAAGTCCTTTCTCCTAATGTGTGTGTGATGCAGTGTTCTGAATTCAGAGAAAAATGGAGTGTATGATGATGTTTTTGTCCCTGTGGTGTTGTAGAATGCACACACACATATGGAGTACCAGTGTACAACCTGTGCCCTATCGAGTCATAGTCATGTATGTATGCGTCATCCTAGGTAGAGAATATTAAAATAGTGGATTGTTTTGTGTACAGGAGTAGTACTATATACAGAGGTATAGTATTAAGGTAGAGTAGTAGGTACAGTACAGTACAGTACAGAATTGCTTGCTCCTGTCGAAAAAAAAAATACAGAGCAACATCTTACTCCGTATGTCTATGTATGTAGGTACTAGGTAATAATTACTCCGTACCTAGAACCTAACCTTCGGCCCCAAAAACACAATCCCCAACGCCACCAGCCACAACACAAAAATCCACACGTACATCAGCATCCGCCCCCACCACCCCTTGCCCTCGGTCATGCGTCGCAGCACGCCCATCCGTTTTCCCGCCGCCTCTAGGCCGGCAACGTTGCGGTCCAGCCCGTCGACGGCGCGCGCCAGGATGGATTTCTCGGCTTCGAGCGAGGACTGGAAGGCCTGCGAGGAGGCCTTGAGTTGGCTGGCGAGCGCGACGAGGGATTCGGTTAGGGATTCTTGTTCGAGGCGGTGCGCGGTGAGGGTCGATTCTGTGAGTTGGGTTTTGGTTTGTGTTGTGGCGGCGGCGGCGGCGGCGGTGGTACTGGGTATGGTTGGAAGGGCGGTTGTTGTAGATGTAAATGTAGTAGGAGTAGATGTCGCGGTGATGGCGCTTGTCTGTGGATGTCGATGTCGATGTCGTAGTGTCGATGTTGATGTCGTAGATGGAGCTCCTGCTTCTGCCTCTGCCTCTGCCTCCTTCTCCGTCTGTGTTTCTGTTTCTGCTCTTCGTAACGATTCTTGCCCTTCTTCTTCCTCTCCGTCAATCGTCTCCTTCTCATTTACCTCCTCCCCCTCTTTCTCTCCCGTAGACGACAGCCTAGCAGGAGTACTCTTAGTATCCAGCAAGAAATCCTCCCCATCATCCTCCTCCGACAGGACCTCTTCTTCTTCTTCCTCGTCTGCCCCTCGAGGCCGTACTATTCCCTCCACCTCCTCCGTTATCATCTCCAGACGCTCTTTCACCTGTTTCAGCG